GGGCTCCATCATCAGCAAATTTGCTGATGATACAAAGCTGGGAAGATTGGCAACATGCTAAAAGGCTGTGCTACCATCCAACAAGACCTGGACAGACTGCAGAGTTGGGCAAGGAAGAACCTGATGAGATTTAACAAGAGCAAGTGTAGAGTCTTGCACCTTGGGAGGAATTACCACACGCATCAGTACAGGTTAGGGGATGACCTGCTGGAGATGAGTTCTGTGGAGAAGGACCCAGAGATCCTGGAGATCTGTTGGTAGACAACAGGTTGGCCGTGAGTCATCAGCCACCATGCGCCTGGTGGCCAAAAAGGCCAGTGGTATCCTGAGGTGCATTGAAAAGAGAGTGGCCAGCAGGTTGATTCCCCTCTGATCTGCCCTGGCTACTTTGTCCAGTTCTGGGCTCCCCAATTCTTAAAAGACAACAATCACCTAGACAGAGTCTAGCAGAGGGCCACAAAGATGATTAAGGGCCCAGAGCATCTCCCACATGCGGAAAGGTTGACTAACCTGGATCTGTTCAGCCTGGGGAGGAAAAGATTGAGAGGGGATCTGATAAATGTTTATAAACATCTGAAGAGAGATGGATGCAAATGGATGAGGCCAGGCTCTTCTCAGTGGTTTGTAGTGATAGGATGAGAAGTGATGCCCTAAAACTGGAATGTAGGAAATTCTGTACTAACATGTGTAAGAACTTCTTTATGGTAAGGGTGATGGAGCACTGGAACAGGATGCCCAGAGAGGATGTGGAGTCTCTTTCTATGGAGATATTCAAAACCCATTTGGAAGCCTTCCTGTGTGACCTATCGCAGGGTATGTGCTTTAGCAGAGGACTGGACTCAGTGATCTCTGGAGGTCACTTTCAACCCCTGCAATTCTGTGATCTCTTGAGGTCCCTTCCAATCCCTATGATTCTGTGATTATATGAACTAATTGGATTGTCAGAAAATGGTTACTATCCTTCACCTTACTTTTAATTTCATATTACGTACCTGTCCATTTTTAGTTTATAATGTTCATTTAGAGGGTTGAATCACTCATATAACAGTAATTACAATCAAGTTAATCTTCTTAGTCAGTATTAAGTTGTCCAAACAAAATATGAAATTGCAGTTTACAGGAAAGTGTTGGTTCTGTCCTCAGTCTTTTTTACACATTGTCAGGACTTACTCATCATCTTTTCAAGTAATTAATACATTTGGCACACAGCAAGGATTTTCTCAACCAGTTCATGAAACATAACAATTTATTAGTTGTAGTTGTACTTAACTTAAACAATACACACCATTTTAAAATTACATTGTGATTACTAAATATTAATACAAATACCTTCTTTTCTCTGAAATTAGCATAAGCATTTTTAGAATATTATTATTAATATTTTATTTTAAAATAATATCAATGTATTCACTGTCCATCCCTCAACAGTGACTTAAATTATCTTCAAAATATAATAGGAAACAAGGTTTATTTATGGTTTACTTTACAGTTTACTTCACTCCCCCTTTATCTGTTGCAAAAGCCAACTATTTTGCACAAAGTTTCCAAAGCAGTTTTAAGCTAAGTCCAGATGTGTAGGTTAGAAAGCTGGTTCTTTGCAGTGCTTGGCAGTGGGGAGGCCCACCTGGAAGATGAAGACAGTTGCTGGGAAAGCAGACAAGTATTCTTGCTGGGCAGAGGTGTCAGAGGCTGAAGGGTGAGGGCCAAGCAAGCCCAGCCCCTGCGCCTGCTCACTGTCAAAGGCAGGTGGGGGCAGAGGGTGCCTGCATTGTCCAGCAATGTTTTTTACTCCTGCATCATGGCTGTTAGTGGTGTTTACCTAATAGGACAGAAGATGGCTCTCCACCCACTGCCTTTATTACTTGCAGATGTTTCTCTCACCCTTACAAACTGGGACTGGTAGTTTTAAACTGTGCTTGTTATTTGTCCTGAGAGAAATAAGATGTTTCTTTCTCCATGAATCTATTTCTTTCTATTGTGTTGTGTTAGCTCTGCATACAGTTTATTTTGTACCTCAAAACAGTTCATTTTTCTATTTCACAGCTATTTGCTACTTCAGATTTTTCTCATTATTTCTTTCTTACATTTCACAGGCAGGATCGTACAAATTTTAGCTCCAGTTTTAAGTAGCATTTCAAGTTTTCCAATTGTATTTCTCATGTTTCTTTTTCACTTATTACATGTAATTCCACAAAAACAAACAAAACCCAATCCTGTCCAGCTGCAGTAATCACTATTTTTTAGTTTTCTTTCTCCTTTTTACAAAAATTCCTTTGTCTTGCAGAATGCTGCACTATAAGCATTTTAACACTTGTTTTGTCTTATAAACTGATGTATTTATTTTTTTATCAAAGTGACATTTTCAGTAAAGAATATTCAATCTCATTATTGAAATATTCTCTCTGTATCTCTGGCTGATTAAATACTGGAACTGGTTGAAGTTTGTGGAATCTCCATGCTAGAGAATATCACAAACTCAGTTGGAAAAGCCTCTTGCAATTTGATCTGACTTCGAAGTTTCATCTACTTTGGATGATGACTCTGCCTTAAGCAAGGGCTTGGACCAGGTAGGCATCCCCTTCAACCATATTATCTTGTGGTTTTATGGAGAGCTGCATTGGGTCAGCTGCAGACATTCTTGAGAACATAACCACACAATGCGGATGTGTGAGGTGACCAGGTCAGCACTGAAATGTATGAGTTTTGTCTTTTCCTGTCTCTGTGACCTCTTCAGAATCCCCTTAACGTTGCCTGAGAAGACCTTCCCAAATTTCCTGATGTTTTATTTTGTTCCGCATTCTTCCTAGTGTAAGAAATGATAGCTGCAGGGCAAACTGCATCAGCTGACTGTGACCTGTGAAGTAAGGTATTGCAAGGTCTTTGTTGCTTTCCAACTCCCTCTGGATTTTCTTTCCTCCTGCAAGCATACAAATAATTCCACATATCTGTCATTTGATCTATGCCCTGAGGAAACAGAGCCATATAGTTAAGAGCAAAATACACTACAGGAAATCGTAGGGTTTTAAGCAATTTTGAACCATGAGTGCTGTATTCTAGCCTGGTTCTCCCTTTGTGAAATGATGCCTTTTTAAAACAATTTACCCTTCCACCTCAAAAAGTGAAATTTGATCTGACACCAAGGGAACAGCACAAATGGTTAAATTATTGGCAAGCTGTAGCAGTGGTGTCTGTGCTCAGGAGAAACCGTGTGCATGGGTGCATGCGCTGCTGAGAAGCAACTCTCAGGAGAGTTACTGTGCATGCACCGAGTACTGCCAGCCTGTTTAGTGAATTTGCCTCTGCAGTCATTAGGTGCTCTGAGAGAGAGGGAACAAAGTCCTAGAACTGCCTCCTTGTGCATAAGGTTGTTTCTGTGTAGGAGATGCTTTCTCACAGTGTTTCAGCCACCCACTTCAACCCTCTGAGAAAAAAATCAACTCTAATTTTCCCATTCCATTTATACGTAATGCATTGTGTAGGATACCAAGTGGTTATGGTTGCTAAGAGCCCTATTTGTATTATGCTCCATACTAATTTCAGGTAAGACTTTGAAGAACTGAGGAAGCTGATCTTTCACAATACCATAAGCTAAAATTATGCTTATTTCCAAATAAATATAAAGGAAAAATATGAAGGTTGTTTTATGATGGAATAATACTTTCCAAGTTTGTGGGAAATTTATTCCCAACATTGCATCATTTAAAAAAAAAAAATCATACATTTTAATTAGGTTGAATCAAATATTTTATATGCTAATAAAAATAAATGAACATAAATCTGCCATAATTTCATTTGCCTATTTTTTTCTGTTCATTATTTCTACTGATTTTGTATTGCTTATATTTATACAATGTGTTGCATGTTATAGATTTTCTCTATAAGTAGCCAGCATTAGATGACTAATTTCAATTTTTTCAATTCAATTAATTTCAACAGACTTCTGAACTAGATGCTCGTTTCACAATTTTTTTCACATTTCATAACATAAAAACATTATCCCATCAAAACTGTTAAAATAATAAATGATTGTTAAAATAATTTTATTGTTAAAATCATAATATATCTTTACAAGAATCTGCCTTGTATGTTACAAAACTGTAAATCATTTCAGCTTAGAGATTTGCACAGAAAGAAGAAAATATCCATACTTGTCTGAACATCCTTTTTGTCACAGCTCTACAGAGTTACTGATAATTTTTTATTTCTCTGCAGTGCTGCGACTTCTCCATATGGTTTAACTGAGCACTGTCAGAAGTGTTCTCATCAAAGAGTTTAGGAGGAATCTGATGTTCAAGTAATTTGTCTGTGCAAGTTTATTGCCACAGAGGCATGAGTCCATGCATTGCAAAATCTCTTTTGGGTGTTTCCATGTTTGTAATGTAAAAGAATGTTCTCAAAACTAAAAGTTAAAGCACACTTGGGAAAATATTTGGATTTTTCTAATGCCATAGGCACCACCTTTCTTCTGGTATAATGATGAATTCTCTGTAAACACAGAGCAGTGGAGCTCCACATTAGCTCATATTCTGCAGCAAAAATATACTGGAGGCCAAAATAAAAATAAAGTCATTAAAATGAAGGAAAGTCCATGTTCATGGATATTAAAAATATAACCTAACTTTTAAGCAGGGAAAAACCATGTATGACAACCTGCAAAGCTTTATTTAGTGTTTAAATAAAACTGGAGACTGGCAGTGTCACAAATTAATATAAAATACCTGTGATCATAGTTAGCAAGTCCTCTCTGACTTATTGGACCTCTGACTCTTAATGGACTTTACATATTTGATAAGCTGTAAAGAATGGACAATTATGTGTGAACAATTATGTTATGTGTGTTCTCAAAGTGGATTTAAAAACAAAAAAAGACAAAAAATGCATCGGAGGTCTCTTCACAGTGACTGTTGCATTGCTTCCAATATTCCAGATGGGAGAAGCTGTTACTAAAATTTGAAATAAGCAATGCTCTGACACATATATATATATTTTTTCTTCCACAGATTAAGATGCTTGGTGAAGCAACTGGAGAAAGGTGACATCAATGTGGTGGATTTAAAAAAGAACATTGAATATGCAGCATCTGTGCTGGAGGCAGTTTATATTGATGAAACCAGGTGAGTCTGACATGAATAAAATCATAGAATGGTTTGAGTTGGAAAGGACATCACAGATCACATAGTTCCAGCCTCCCTGCTATGGCAGGGCTGCCCCCACCAGCTCAACTGCCCAGGGCCCCATTCCATTTGGCCTTGAACGCCTCCAGAGATGGGACACCCACAGATTCTCTGGGCAGCTGTGCCAGTGTCTCACCGCCCTCTGAGTAAAGAATTTCTACCTTATATCTAATCTAAACCTCCCCTCTTTTAGTTTAAAAAAGGAAGAGCAGTTGGGAGTTACATTTTACAAATCTAGTCTTTGCATGCAGTTGTAAATGTTACGAACTGAAGATCTCTGCAAATCAGAATAATGGGTAGCTTTTAGATTTTTTAGTGACAAGGTTAAAGCACTTAGGATTCCAAAGATCAGGTGTAACCATCATCTGGAGGATTTGCTTAGTTTCTGTCACCTTCACTTGCCAGATGTTGACAGTATAAAGCCATAAGAAATTTCTGAATGATGGATGATGGATTTTCTTTCGCACATAGGTCACACAATGATAATCATACTGAGGACTATGTCACGAAAAAAATGAGCTGTTTGGAAATGAAATGCTCAGAGATATGAGTCAGGGTATTATAATCTGGCCGCTAACATATAAGTTAACGAAAAGTTGTGATTTATTTTATAGTATTTAATTATTTGTTTGTATTTATCGTTACTGGCAGTATTAATGGCAGTCATCTTAAATGTGGGTTGACTTCAATGAAATTGGAACTTCTAAGTAAAAGTTCTTCCTGAAAACATTTTAAGATATGTAATATAATTGATGCTAACTAGCTAATTTACAATTTTATTTCAACATGCTTATTTTATTTTTTTTTTTTAAAGCAGAATGTTCTTGTAAAACAGTCTGCCAAACCCTCTTCAGTACTGCTGGAGCACGCATGCTATGTCTAGTCTCAGTCCCTTCTGACATTTAGGAAGTCTGCCATCTACTAATTATTGCACAGACCTAGCTATCTCATCCTCTCTTTCTTCTTGGAAGTCTGCAAATGTGATACAGTGCATAAACTGCAGCTCTAACTTCTTCCAGTTTCCTTTCCTTTAATGTGTGTGATTCACACACCAAACCTTGCTGGTTTGTAATTAGGAGCATCAACTATTAGGCAATAGAAAGCATAAACATTTGCAAACAGAAGGATGAAAACAATAGCAAATTTGGTACCAATGCTCTGTTTTTCCCAGATTATAATACAGACTGGGCTAGCAAAATCACTTCTGCTGGTGTCCTGCTCTTAGAGTTAATGCCTGTCCAGTTCTGTAAAAGACGATAGAACTGTGGTAAGAGAGACTTCCGGAGCAGCTGAGTCGTAGTTAATTCCATTTATGTACCACTACGAATATAATTATTTCAGTTTCGCTGATTGATTTAAGTTAATCAAGCTTCCTTTGTATTGTATTGTATCAAGGACTGGTTTGTGCATTTGAAATAGTTTGAAGTTAAAGTGATAAAATTTCTTAGGCAGATGTACAAAGAAATGATCAACACACTTCTCTTTAAGCGTATATTACCCTAATAGCAGCATAACATTTTATTTTCCAGTAATAGTTCTAAATGTAAATTCTGTTGACACAGTTCAAGTTCTCAAGAAGCTTTGGAAAATCTGGGTCCTCACCTCTGCATCGTGCAATACCCTAAAATCATCAGTGAACAGAACTTCATGCATTTTGCATGAACAACCACAGAGCTGTGTCATAGCTGCACAGTCAGTTGGGAGCAAGGATGTAATTACTCCTTCCATGCACCTCCCAGGCACTGTGATTAAGTGGGTACAGTACTCATAGCTCTTTCTGAGTAGTAGCACCAGGACTGTGAAAAATTTTTGTTTCTAAAATAAGGCCTTTATTGAAACAAATAGTATCATTATAACGAGGAACCCAGTCTTTCTAGCTCCGTGTGGGAGTATCAAGAAAAGTAACAGAAATTTCATATGCAGAGAAATCTGGTACACCTGAAAATGCTTAGATTTCAGCAGCAGCAGGTGCATTATTTTCACTGTAAGAAACTCTTTAAATAAGTTTATTGCCCTCATAGGTCTCAGCGGCAGGATTATTAAACTGCCCAAATGAAAATAAATATACTTAGCTTTATAGTGGTCTAGAAGATTTTTGTCATTCTCAGGCTATTTTCTTAACCTTAGGAGCATTATGATCTCATAATGGTGATTATTCAGATGTTTTCAAAAAAAAATCATTATGTTTGGGGAAGACCACAGGATGTCCAATCTTCATCCTGTGCCCACTAAGCCATGTCCCTCCTTGCACATCTACCCTTTTCTTGAGCACCGCTAGGGATGGTGACTTCACCACCTCTGAGCAGCTCATTCCAATACCTCATCACTCTTTCTGAGAAGAAATTTTTCCTGATATCTAGCTTGAAATCTTATTTATGAATTGCATTCCATATTTTGCGTAACAATATGATTTTTCATTATAATAAGTCATAAAGGAAATTAATTAAAACTGAGACAGATGTCTAGTTTTGTTGTAACTCACTGAATACTTCTCCAACACAACTGCAAACTGAGCTGATAGACATACTAATTTTTGTTATTATTTTCTCTCTCTATATATACATTAAGCATATGGATTATGTATTTCCTCCCATACCTACAGCTATTTTTCTGAAGTATTATGATGTAAAGGAATTTTCCTTGCCCATGCTACTTATGGCATGAGTAACAGTTAAAAATGAAGTAACTTTAATGAAACCAATTCTTCAAACTTTATTCTCCTATTTTTAGTGTTTAGTACTTTATATTCCATATTGTCTGTTTTGGTTTATAGTTTCTGAATTTATTTTCCGTCTCTGGACTAATGCAATTAGATTCAGATTTAGAATGGTGCATTGTTTGGACCTTCTGTTAAATTTATGGTAAGAATACAGGCTGAGTTTCCACTTTTGTAAAGTATTGTAAAATTGTAAAATATTTAAAATATTATCTGCACTACTGTTTTAAATTTTGACACTTTCCCGTATAAAAAAAAAATAATTCTGCGATTTGATGTACAGTATAGAAAGTGCAGTGATGTCTCCTTGTCCAAAGTATTGCAGATTTAGGACAAAAGGTTCAGTACAGAGCACTCAACTCACATTAAAAGAGCCATATTTTGTGTTTCACTAAAGCATTGCTTACATATCCAAGAAGACCTCAGCTTCAACCAGGCACTAAAACTGGATCCTGTCTGTGATGTTTTCTTCCTCCCCCATTTTCTGGGAGACAGAACTCAATACCAGTTGACAGAGAGCCCTCTAAAGTATCTCGATAGTCAGATTAGGAATAGCAGTGAACAGAGAGAGATTTGATTTACTTTGATTGAAAGGCCTTTCAATTCTATAAAGTTGTATGTGGACATGCAGATATGTGCAAGCTGGCAGCACCTTAAGTTTTCATTTAGCATACAACCATCAGCTTGAAATGGACGACAGAATTCCAACCCTTTAGCTGAGTAAGGAGCTCCTTCCTCAGGTCCTCTTACTTGCTTCTCTGCTGTTCTGTTGCTCTCTGCTGTGGCCTCTGATCTGAGGATAATGTAGCATTTTTAAAAACTGAGTACACATACTTATATCCATACAAGCTCTTTCTAAAAATATATGCAGTTGGGTTGGTGAAAAGGCAGAGAGGTAACACAGCAGGTTTTAATTACAGTGTTCTGAGAACAGACCCCTTTGGAACTAGCCAGATAGTAGAAATAGCATCCCCAAATTATGAAAAATTGATTTGGGGTAGTGATTTTCAGTATGCTGTATGAAAGATTCTGAGCTGACGGGAAGTTGGAAATGGAGAGAAGTCTGGTATATGTAAGTGCTGCTTTTCTCTGAGCTTAATTATCTGTGGCCCCATGTTAATTAACAAGCTTCTTTATCAAACACTTTTTAGGACTGCTGCATCTGTCAGTACTGCATAACTGTAAGGCACACGAGACACTTCCTTGAAAGAAAACTAGCACTTTGGTCACTGGAGCGGAGGCTCAGTGTCAGCTAAAAATAATCAGTGAACCTCTCACTGTTCCAGCCCCTCAGCAGATCTCTGTGGAAGAAGTTCAGACTTCCTCAATAGGTGTTATAAATAATTCTGACAAGTCTTGCAGAATTTTCTCCGTTTGTACCTGACACTTGGCTTGAGGTAGTGGAAGAAGGATTTTTAGAGTTGAACAGGAAATAAATACAGCCTGATAATCCAGTGAGGACAGCTGTTCCGTTCCTTGTAAACACAGCTCTTCATTTGTGGTGAGAAGAAAATAAGTCAAGTAAAATGTAGATGGAAATGACAAAATTAAGAAAAAAAAAAAGCATTTGAAAGCCAAAAACCCTGAAAATTTAAACTTACTGTGGAAAATGTTTTTAAGTTGTTCTGGATAAAGTCAGAATTTTTTGTTCCTATTAAAAGTTTTATTTTTACACTTCATGTGCTTTAATATTTTACAAAATAGACTTGATTTCAGGAAGATATTTATCTGTGTTTTTTCAATTCTATGCATAGATATGACTGGTTTTATACTGTAAAATACCCTTCTAAAAGACTTCAGTCTTTTGAAAACTTCTAACTTAGATGAGTTCATATTTCAGTAATATGTGAATGAGATGTGTTTTATATAGCTAGCAATTGCTTTCAGCATCTTTGTTTGAGTCATCAAGGAAAAATAACAAATACAAGTCATTGCCACATTCTTGAGGCGGAAAGGAAATCTCATTAAGGGTAAGTGGTGTTGTAATAATACGTGTCATCTGTTTGCATGAGAGATCTGGAAGTGCTGGAGGTATTTAAATGATACCATAAAATAAACACAGCAGTCTTTTTGAGGAAAAACCCCTTATTTAAAAATGTTTGCATTCGGATATGCATAAACTTAGTGAAACAGGAGGTCATTAAACCCTGTCTTTGTGTCTGCAGCTGTTCTATACACCTAGGACCATAATGAATTTCCAGTGCACTGCTCCAGTAACACACCA